TGAGATTCTCTTCATACATAAATTTCCGAGTTTCTTCGTAAGTGGCCTGGCAGGCACTACGGCAGTGGGCTGCGACTTCAATTTGGAGGCAAAGCCCATGTTGAAATACACTCAGTAGAGAGTGAACAGGAGAGAGAAGAATAAAGTTATGAGAGTAGAGAAAATGTATTATTCGAGATGTTTTTTACAACTATATGAAGGGTATATATAGTACAATGGTGAGTGTTGTCCAAGAACACACAAAAGGAAAGAGAAATCAAATCCTATCACAATCATACCTAAGGTAATTATGCTAGTAATGCTAGAATAGGTAGAAGTCAATCATGGTAAAAAAGGAAATGATAACTATTAACAGGTAACAGCCCAAATGGCAGTGCATATAGCAACTGTGGTTGAAATCATAGAGAAGATGCCACTATATTCAAATGCCAATTGACAGTGAAACTACAATAAAATCAAACATTATCTTCTATTTGAATCATGAACATGAATCACCCAAATAAAATCAAAGACTGATGCTTAAAGATAGATCCAATCTTCTCCAGAGCGATCTTTAACTCAACCCATTTGAGTCAATTACCATTTAACCAACTACATCACACATAAATTGAATAAACTAAACTAGTTTAGTCCTAACTAGTTGGGGGTGGTCGGCTATATCAATTTGCCTTCTCTATTCGGCTTTATGAAAGCAAACCATATCATCAGTTAAAAAACAGCATCATGCATAACGACACACCTCAAATCAAATTAAGATCAGCAATATCTCAGAACTACCCATCACTGTTATAAATCACATTTTTATGTACTGACATATAACTTAGGGCAACTATCAATAAGTCTTAATAGTTGGATTTAATTCTCAAAAAGTCCTATTGAAAATAAGTCCTAATAAAATCGTCGCTAAAAATAATTTTTTGTGACGATTTTTTGCATGTCACTAAAAATTAATAATTAGTAACTTTTTTGTCATGATTTTTATAAATTATCACTAAAATTTACAATTAGTAACGTTTTTCTGTGACAAATTTTTCAAACTATTGCTAAAAATTAAAAATTAGTGACTTTTTGTGACAGATTTTTTTAACTGTCGCTAAAACTTATAATTAGTTAGCTTCTATGATAATTAATTAAAAAAATCTCTAATCTTTAATTTTCAGTGACGTCTAAATTTTTTTATACCAAGTCTCCAACTTAATGAACACAACCTATACACACAAATGTATCTAACATGGGAATAAATAAAAGGAAAAAAGCAAAACCTTCTCCTTTGAGCTTGTTCCAGGATGATTCGAGGCCATTGTTAGGTGGCCAAACATTTCTGCCTTGGAGTTGAGCAAGCCCCATATCTCTCTCTGCCAAACAAACAAATCATATACCCAGATAAATAGATTATATATATATATATACAAAATGGTATAAAGAAATTGAAATTTACGGGAAAGATTGAAATGGGTCTAATTAATTGAAGTAAAGTGTGTTGTTGGAGTTACGGTGAAGGAATTTCTGGAAGAGAAGGCAACGGAGAGAGTTGAGGCTGCCCAGGAAGAGCTAATGGTGGTTGAATTTGTTGAATTGGAAGAGGAGAGGGTTTTGTGGATTGGAAGTGAAGAAGAAGAAGAAGAAGAAGAAGAAGAAGAAGAAGAAGAAGAATTAAGAGAGAAACAGCGGGAAGTGAGGGTTGAGAAAGGGATGGTGGTGGCTTCCATGGTGAAGAAGACTTGCTAGTTTTCTCTCTCTAGAAATATTATACGACCACGTAGCTCGAAAAGGAGCCCCCGAATGGCCCGAAAGTGATAAAGGTGGTTTATGTAGTGTTTGCCCAGTTGCACAACACAGAGATTGACAGCACGCGTTTACAAAGAAAGAATAGAAGAGGAGAGAGGAGAGAGAGAGAGGAACATAGGGATGATGGATAACTTATTCTGTGGGTATTCATGGAGATCCAACCCAAATACATGGATTTTTTCTTCTTTTTCTTATCTATTGGGTAAGGTAAGTGATATTCTTTAAATATCCACAGGAGATGGGTTGGGGATGGGTATCCACTAATTTTCCCATATGTTTTTTTTTTTTTTTTTTTTTTTTTTTTTTTTTTGTGTTAGGGTTTCCAGAGGTACACGGTACATACAGACATATAGACATGGTAGGGGCCGGGCACGCGATGCATGCCTAAACTCGTTTAAAATTATAATATGATTTTGATATTATTTTTCTAATAATATACATGTAAATTATATGAATAATTATGTATAATAAAAAATACAATATTAACATATTTGATAAATAAAATATATGTACATTAAAATATATACATATCTTTTAAAAAATGTAATATTTACTAATCTTAACTAAAAAAAATTATACAATAAAAATTCATATAAAATTTAAATTTGGTAACATGAGACCGGAGATCCTGCAAATCCTGCAAAAATATATATATATATATATGTAAGATATATGTAAAAATTAGTTTGCTAATAATATACATTGATTAAATTAAAATTTTACGTTTTTAAAGTGAGCTATAATTATACATATGCATATTTTAACTAATAGAGTACAATAATAACATTGGTTTTATAATTGGCTTATTCTGTATAAAGACACAAAAGGTAATTATTTTATTAATTTTTGATAAACAAAATTAAAAAATTAAAAATTTACATATTGGCATAGATTGACATAGTCCATATCAAATGTCACGTTCAATAATCTCTTCAAATTGTTTTGATGCAATTTTTGCCAAAGATCTATGACAACATTAAATTACAAAAAATAAGATGGAATTGACAAAAAATGAAGTACATAACTTCTGTTATACATACAAACCTAGAAGTAGATTACCTTGTAACAATGTTGCACATATATTTGTAAGCTTTCAATTTTTGTATCATTCGTTGCCTATAAAACTAAGAAAAAATATTTCACTTCCTTGTAAGTTGATTGTTTGAAAAATTTATAAAATCTAAAATTAATTTGTAAATTCACAAAAATGAATATATGGAGCATAGTAGTAAAGTTCATAAGACTTGATTTTTTACCACATATATGTCCATATTGTCTTTGCTGCATATTCTTGTTCTATCAAATATGATAGGATTTCTGTAAAAAGATTACAATAACTATTAGCAAATGTAACATATTGAAATTTTCATATAAAATGCCACAAACACATTATCATACCGATGTTGTCGTTGCCTCAAAAGCTCTCGCACAATTAATTTTCCCAATTGTTTTTTATTAACTTTAATAGAGACCTTCCATCCAAGACTGTATATGGAGAACTGTTTGACCTACATTAATTTAAAAGGTATAGTCAAACTCAAAATATATGTGAATATTGTCAGATTAAATAGCAAAAATTTTACAAACATTATTTTTTGAACATAAGTGAAGCCAACACCTGATTTTTAACTTTCTTATCTGCAACCATATTTGCTTCCTTTTGATAATTCTCCCAAAGCTGAAGTAGCTTTATTTTTTCAAGTATTCCTACAATCAATAATTATATGAAGATATATTATAAGTATATTAATTGTAGATTTTAAGAAATGACATAATATAAGCTCAATAAGAACATATTTAGTACATACCTCATGTATCAATAATTTGGTAACAAAACGTCTTTGTAGACTACATTGCGGGTATACACTCCTTCTTCATTATTAACTGAACCCTTTTTAACCAAGACTTTCGTTGTTTGATCTGACACCCCTCGAGATAAAGCAACATATAGTTGTCCATGACTAAATACATGATCCGGAAGGTAAATTCCCACATGTGGAATTGTTTGACCTTGTGATTTATTTATCGTCAAAGCAAAACTAAGGCGAACTGGAAATTGTGTGCGAGTCATTTCAAATGGAAGTTTTAAGTTTTCCAGAGCCTTTAATGGAATGCGATGTGGGAAAACTCTCGTGTCTTTGAAATGTCCTGTTAAAATCTCTGAATCTATGAAATTATCGTTCAAAGCTCGACACAATAGCCTTGTGCCATTGCACAAACCAGAAGAAGGGTCAAGATTCCTCAAAAGCATAATTGGGGCTCCAACTTTCAAATGCAATGCATGTGGGGGCATTCCTCCTGGTGAAATGGAATTTAAAAACTCTTGTTGATACAAATTTTGGGTATCATTTTCAACTTTATGAAATGAGTGGTACACTTTTGATTCTCCTGGAAATCTCTGAATGATTTTCTCATTGAGCTTGTCGACATCTTCATTGTGAGGAGTTATTATGCCCTTACTAACCATATACTCGGCGTCAAAAGAATGGTTTATGATATCAAGATAAATTTCTTCTAATAGTTGAACTATTGATTCTTCGCCATTCCATGGTATCGCCATTCCATGGTATTGCCATCGATCTTGGTACTTTGATCATTTCATCTATAATGGTAGGTTGTACACCATTTCCAACAAATAAAAGAAATTCACCAAACTGTTGGTCATTTATAGAGCGCATGTTTTGTTTTAAACGAAGTATTTGAATGTGACTCCAAAGAGGTGATTTGACTATCGATGCAACAATAGTTTCAGCTTTTGTACCTTTAGGAACAACTGGAAGTACTTGTCAAAAATCACCACGAAACACCATAATTTTGCCACCAAATGGATAATCAACACTGGTGATGTCTATGAGTGTTCGATTCAAAGCTTCAAAAGCATAACGATTTGTCATTGTAGCTTCATTCCAAATGATGACTGTTGCACGTCTAATCAGTTTTGCCAAATCTGATTGTTTAGTAATGGAACACACGGACGAAGCCTCTGGATTTAAGGGGATCTTGAATCTTGAATGGGCTGTCCTTCCACCAGGTAAAAGTGTAGCTGCAATTCTAGAAGTTGCTATTGCAATGGCAATTCTCCCTTGACTTCTCACTAAGGCCAACAGTGCACGATATAAATATGTCTTTCCAGTTCCTCCTGGGCCATCCACAAAGAAGATTGCACCAGTATTGCATTCCACAGCCTCCATGATTGAATTAAATGCTAAGTGTTAATCACTATTTAATGTGGCAATAGAATTTAAGTTTTCTCGAGGAGTTACAATGGAAAACTCATCTTGTATGACCTTTGGAACTGTTGAATTATCATCCAAATTCATTGTCATCTCAGGCAAATCGTATTCTGATATATTCTTATTATGCTGTAGCAGGAGACGATTTATATCTTGCAGAGTTTTGTTAAGGATATACATATTATTCATACTGTTTGAAGATATGTAATCTTCAATCAAGTAAGGATAAATTTCATCCTACAAACTTTGCACCCCTATTGGCACACAGTAAACCAAAATTATAACGAACAATCTCCTTAAAACTGATGGCATGTGCATGGTTGCAGCTTCTAACAAACATTGTCGTATGCTATCATCATGCTCTAACAAACCATGATGTTCAGCTGCTTGTTTAAAAGTTGGGTACGCAATTCCATTAACCATTAACAAATGATTGAATGATTTTGGTCCTCGAATATGATTGAGTAAAATTCTCAAGTAAAATCTCTCCCCTTCTGATGGCGAAATTGTGTAAATTCTACCAATTACTCTTTGATGGTTTAATCTCAACTGCCAAATCTTTGCGCTATTGCACCATCTATAGTGTTGCGGTATCTCTCGATATAAGTATCGATTTGCAGTTTCATCATCAACATTTAATTGAAAGAATTGGGTAAGCATTGTTCTGGAATAATACTCATCGCCTAAAACATTTGTGATGTCTTGGAACGTATAAAACCTCACTTGCTACTTATTTGGTAAGTGTATTTGGAGGCGTTCTACGCTAGGAGTCATTTTGGTCATTGGGAATTTGAATATTTTCCACAATGCTTTTGGAGCACAAACCCATCTTCCATCTATGAACTGTTGTACTTCGTCATAATTGGGACCTTGACGAACTTCTAGTGCAACACGGTCAGGCCCTTTATAAACATATTTGTATAAATACTTCACACTTGTAACACTACTACAAATTTCAAGATTGATATGACAATCATATTTCAAGAGCAACCATGGGTTATACGGAATGACCCAACTATTATCCACCAAGACGCTTGGATTACTCTCTAAAGGAACTGATTCCCCTTCTCTTCTTCGATAAACAGGATATGAATCGTTTCCAAGTGTAGTAATTGAAGAAAATGGCTTTGGAAAACGTCTTTTGCACCGACCATTTGTCATACACGGGGACCGTTCATTGTACATTCCACATGGGCCATGTATCATGTGTTTCAGAACTGCACTGTATAATGTAGGCTCTAATCTCTTGTCTGGAATTTCAGCTCTGACAATGTAATCATAATCATCAGGAGTGCGTAACTTATCATTGTCATCCAAAATAATGATCATGTGGGCATGTGGTAAGCCTCTTTTTTGGTACTCAATAACATATGCGTATGCCAGAACCTTCCCGAGTACATGTTTTGTAAGAATGTCAGTCTTCATCTCATCAAATTTTGAATGAAATATTCTTGTTAGCAAATCAGGACGATCATGTGGTGACTATCCAGGTAGCAACTCAGCTTTAATTTCAGGCCAATTTGGATTGCAGGTCATTGTAAGGAAAAGATCAGGTTTTCCATACTTTTGGACCAGAACTATTGCATCTTGATATCGCTGATACATGTCTCGTGGGCTACCAACAAATGATGATGGCAATATTGTTCTACGACCAACATTACCTAAACAAATATTTCACAAAAGGAAAAAAGAAATTGTATGTATGAATATAAACAAACATGTGTACATGTAATTGTAATATCGTACGTGACAATTTGTACCTCCATAATTTTCACCGGCATGTACTGCATCTAGAAGACCTTGATAAAAATCTGCTCGAATGTGATTCTGATGAGTACGTATCCATCTTAATTTGTTGGACTCAATCTTCACGTAATTATCTACGACATGCTGCTGTAAGAGACGACCTCCTCGAAGAAAAAGAGATTGATCACCAGGGCGAATCTGAATTGATAGTATTTCAATACTTATAAATAATTAAAAGTAAAGATTTTATACGAAATAATTATAGATTGAATAACTTCGACGAAGTAATTTTTTAATATTATGTATACGTCGTTACCTGTAGCATATAAGAATATAAATCACAACATGTTACTTTTCTGCCATCATTACTTCTGGTATTTGCATCCCATCCATATAAACCGTAGGGTAACAACAGAGGATAGTGTAATAGATCATAGTATCCGACAATATTAGAAATTTTTAGGAGGTGACCACTGGTTGATTGGACAATGATATCTCTTGGTTTTAAATTTTCAGCTTCTTCGCCACCTACTAAAACTGCAGCAACTTCAGGAGCAGTAGGAAGGTTGTATTGGGGCCTATTACGTGGTTGCTCTTTGATTTGAAGTCTGCATTCATGTATGTATGGACGCTGAGCCAATTGGCGAAACGTGTGTACAAATGGATTATGAGTATTTAAAATATTCTTTATCTTGTCAAGCAAATCAAGTGCAATTCTTCATTTTCGAACATTCGATTCTCATTCTCGTAGTCAGTGTCATAAACATACAGTTGCAAATATCTCGGTCTGTCGCTAGAATTTGGTAAGAGACTCCCAATCTTATGATATATGGCTCCTTGTGCACGAAACGTGTACACACCTCGAGTTCTTGTTGCTAAGTTTTCATCAACATGAACACCCATTGAAGTGAATAAGAAAACATAATTGTAGGCTCGAATATTTTGTCTGAAATGACGACCTTCCACTGTTTGGTCAAAGAAAATATCAATCATCTCATTTGGAGCTGTTATTGGTGGCAAAATAATTGTTCCATTATTACAACACATGGTAGATGTTTCACGGTGGAACAATCTTGCGTTGCAATGTTTACATGTAGTTGGAGCAAGGAACTGCATTCTTTGGAACCTTTCACTTTCATGAAAATTTCTTGCACAATTATGATATCTCCTATGGATAAATGATCGATTATCTGGAATATCTTCATCACTCAAAGTATCCTGATTGTGGTCAACATGAGGGATATTTCCTATGACAATACATGTATGATGTATGGGTTTATTATTAACACAATAGTATTTGTTTGAAAGTGTTTGAGTTTCATGTTCAATATTAAATGTAATTGTACTGCATATCATATTTGCATGATCATATTTTTTACATTTATTGTAAAGGTTGTTTATTTTGTAAAAGTACTTAAGCTAAATAAATTATTTGTACCTTCCATCTGAACTTCACGAGGATCTTGTCTGCTACCACTTGTGCTTCCATGCTCGTAAGTCGAATGAGTAGGTGCATATCGGGGTAAGTCGATACGTGTGAGTACAGTGATTCTACTTTCCCGTCTGAAAACATTAGTCGCAACCAAATTGCCTTCTTCGTGAATGGTTGGCAAAACTGTTGCTCGCGGCCTACGCCATCCTGTTCTATTTCTTCTTGGGATTGCAACGAAAAAGTTTAACATGCATCCTAGCAGTTAAAATTATAAATAATAAATTAAATGAATATTAATGTCAAAAGTGTAAAAGCTTACAAAAAAAAAAAATGTTTATAACATTTGAAAACTTACTACTTGTTTGTGCATTCGTCATATTATATACTTGATTTGGATGAGAAGTTTGTTCGAGATTTTTCAGATATTTGTCTTCTTTGTCGATAATTCGTTCGTCGCCTTGCAAGTTGTTGTTCGTGTTGTTCAATAGTCAAAGCAACCCTCCTTTGTCTAGCATAATAACGCCAACTTTCCCTTTGAATTTCTCTTTGTTGCACATTAGAGGTCGCACTTTCTTCGCGAATAAACAATCTTCGTCTGCACCGAGCAAGACGACGTTGCTCCAATCTTGCTGAGCGTTGTTCAGTGCTTAAGTTTTGAAGGCGTAACTGTGAGAACCCGAATATAAAAATTGAGTAAATAATTAAATAATAATAATATTATAATCTCAAATATTTTGGTGGTGAATTCTAAGGTGCAAATTAAATATTATTGGAGGATCCTTTAATTAATTTTTAAACCTAAAATAAATTTATGGTGAAAGTCATTGATTTAGAAGCAAGATTTATTAATAAAAAAAAAAATGGAGAAGAGGGTGTGACTTGAACTCTAGACCATAAAATTAATAAGTTAGGCTCTTACCACTTGAGTTGCATGTAACTTATATATGTATTTTGTATATTTATCTATCTATTTGACCTAAGTGTGCCCACCACTAGTATAAAATAAAATAAACACAAACCCTAACTCTTGTTATAATTGTTTTCCACAACACTAGCAGCCCTAGCAGCCGTGGGTTTATGAAGGAAAGAGAGGGGTTTTTCAATCATCAAGATTATTGTTGTAGCCAAGAAGGAGAGCTTTGGGTGTGTTGTGCTGTGTGGCTTCCTAGGTTTTCTTCTCTTCTTTCTTTGTTCTTCATCCTTATTCTATAATTATTTTATTCATTCATGGAGGTTGTAGATTTATATATTTTGTATATATATATACTGTTAAGAAATTTGAGGAGTTAAATTCATGTATAAAGATTGGGTATTATTCTTAGTTAAAAATTCTGCGCATAATCACGAACTTTAAAAATCAAGAAACCATATCAAACGGATGAATTTTAATCTGAAATTTTTGCTAAGAAGAAAGATGGCACATTATGACTGTGCATTGATTATCGGAAGTTGAACTGGGTAACTGTTAGGAGCAAGTACCCATTGCTATGAATAGATGATTTGTTTGATCTTAGTGATGCCTTTTGGGTTGACTAATGCGCCGGCTTTGTTTATGGACTTGATGAATTGAGTCTTTCGTGAGTTCTTAGACCGATTCGTGGTTGTCTTCATTGACGACATCTTAATCTACTCACCTTCTGAGGAGAAACACAATGAACACTTACAGGTTATAGTTGAGTCGTTTAGAGCACATTGGTCATATGCTAAGTTCGGGAAGTGTGAGTTTTGACTAAAAGAAATTAAGTTCTTAGGCCATGTGGTATATGGTGAAAGGTAACTGTAAACTCATCTAAGATATTGCAGTGCAAGATTGGGAACAACCTAAGAATTCCTTTGAGATCCAAAGTTTCTTGGGCTTAGCTGGGTATTATTGACGTTTTGTAAAAAGACTTCTTTAGACTGGTCTCACCATTGACTAGATTGATGATGAAGGGAATTAAATTTGTGTGGAGTGAGACATACGAGAAGTCATTTCAAGAGTTTAAGGTTAGACTTACCATTGCTTCAGTTTTGATTATTCCAGAGAGGGATTTGGGTTATTTGGTTTATTGTGATGCGTCTCGGGAAGGTTTAGGTTGTGTATTAATGCAAGAGAGGAAAGTAGTAATGTATGGCTCATGACAGTTGAAAGTACATGAGAGAAATTATCATACATGGCGTAGCGGGGACTCAATTGCATGGACCTCTAGGGCATTCCTTTTGTTTAGAGTGTTATGTCAAGTTTGTGCATATTTATATTTATTCTTATCGAAGTTCATTTAGGATTATTTTTGATATGTGGGTTGTTTATATCCCATAAGTTTGGATGGCTTTTGATTACAGTTGATTTTGCCGTTTATAACTGTGGCATGTCTGGATTGAGTTTTGGTTATTTATTATTGGACTATTGTTCAATTGTTCAATGTGATTGGATTCGTGTTTAGGCTTACGTGTGCCTTGGGCTAAGTCCCTGTGGGCCACGGCCGGTCATGCCCGGATTTGGGGTGTGACAGTAACTATTCGAATTCTCTTTGTGGTTGTTCAGTTTGAGTATTTGGTTCCGAAGCTGAGCATTGCCTCCTCTGTTGTAGGTATAAACGACGTCGTTCACAATTTTGTTGTTGTACACGTCTCAAATTTGATGTGTCAAGGTAATTGTGATTCATTTTTCCTAAGATTGTTAGCAAACTAAAACTTACGTAAATGAAATCCGGCTATCTTTAAAATGTGCCTACATTATATAAAATTATGTAAGAGGCAGTAATAGTATATTCACAATGCGACTTGTATACTTACAATATAATAAGCTTTATATTTTTATGTAAGTGTTTTCATATGTTTGTTTTTATATTTTTATAATGCATATTATTTTAAGTACTAATCTCATTTTATGGAGAATTAAATAAAATTGCAAGTAAAAGAGATTACCTAATAATGATGAGCCAAAGTGTGTGCAACTTGAGATATGATTTAAAAACCAAACTGAATATAAATTTTTCAAACATTCAATTAAATATTAAAAAAATAAAAAATAGAATTAAAAATACTTACAGTCAAAAGAGAAGTAGAAGATAAGTATTAATAAAACACGATTGTAGAAGTTATTTGTTTTGACTATCACAAACTCATTATGTAATAAATATAAAAAAAATCATATGAAATTTTGGGACCACTGAATTCTTTCTTATCAAAAAAATACACTTCAAAACAAACATATGACTAAACAAAGGGTTTTTTAGAAAAGTTACAATAAAAAAGATTAGACACC